AACAGGAACCCAGCAAACCGTGGAGATGAAAACGGTGTTTCTTTAGAATGTAGCAGCTTAGAGAGAGTTCTGGTTTGGTAACCAGGCCCAGCCTAGGCTGCCCTCCTGGACACCCCGTCTGTACGTCTTCTGTCATTTCTCATCTGTGCCCACAAGGGCTGGGGCGTGATTTTCCTCTGCACCTGCTCCTACCTCTCAATACTCTTTCTTTCTTCCTTCCCTCCTCACCCCTCCCACCTTCTCTCTCTCTTCTCATTCTATCTCACTCACTCACATTCATATTTTCCCTCTTTCTCTCTCTTCCTTTTTTATTTTTTTTATTTTTTATTTTATAAATGTTTTATTTATTCCTAGGAGAGAGAGAGAGAGAGACAGCGTGAGCAGGGGAGGGTCAGAGAGAGAGGGAGTCACAGACTGAAACAGGCTCCAGGCTCTGAGCTGACAGTCAGCACAGAGCCCGACGCGGGGCTCGAACCTACGAACCGCGAGATCACGACCTAAGCGAAAGTCGGACGCTTAACCGACTAAGCCACTCAGGCGCCCCTCTCTCTTCCTTTTTTAAAGTGGAGGCTTATTTATGTAAACAGAGACAGAAAAGGCCCCATGGCCCTAATTGCCAACATGACAGAGAAATGATCAGAGAAGCCACAAGTCATGGGCCATGTGAGAGGTGGGTCTCCAGCACCCGCTGCGAGGTCGCAGGTCTGGGATGCAGCAGGGGTGGGACGCCAACCTCACTGGCCCAGCTCGGGGCTCCCCACCACGTCTCCCCTTCCCAGTGGCTGTTATGGCACCATATTTGCTTTTACTTGTCTGAAAACGTTCACCTTCAAAGTCAGAGCTTTGGGTTGTAGAAAGGAAAACAAGCAAATGCCTCCCTCCCCCGCCCCCTCCAAAATCGAGTTTCCTTGAGGCTTTGGGGAAAGAACTCGAATTACCCCACACGTTGTCACTGTGCAGAGACTGATGTGGCAGAAGGGGAGCGTGGGGCCGGGCAAGGAGACCATGATTGTGTGTTTTCCTCTACAAAACAGTGATATGTGAAATGAGGGAGATGCTCTCCTGGTGGAAGATGGGCAGGCCAGGCACTTTTCCACCCCTGGATGGGATGCTGGGAAGCCCCGCTTTGCCCCTTCCCCCAACCACACAGTCAGGTGCCCCAGCAGCTTAGGTAAAGAAAGACCCCTGCTGTAAGCTCATGGGACAAGTTAAAAACATCCCCAGTCTGGATAAGAACATTACTGCCTGACAACACTTGAGGACAGGATTTTCCATTTTGTACCCACACACCCCCCACCCCGTGTTCCAAAGTGGAGATCAGCTCCGGAAGAGCAGGCAGTCTCTGGGTGTCTGCTGAGCAGAGGGCTAAAGTCCCACGTCCTGGAAAACGAAGCTCAGGTTGGGGTAGCTCTGTAGTTGAGCAGATGAAAAACAGCTGATAGGGTCCACTTAGGTCAATTCAGAGCCAGCCACCCTGTGAGCAAAGAAGGTTCAAGGTCAAAATTGTTGGAAGCTAAATCACCAAACTATGAAGAAGACTGTATAAATAGAGAACATATTCATTAGATTTCTTCTTCTTCAGCTGGGAGTGGGGAGGCTGGGAAGCCATGGCATGTCCCCAAAGATTGCTCTGGAGGGATCTTGTGCTTAGGACCTGCAGGGGTGGGGCAGTCTCAGAGGCCAAGCCAGCCTCACCCCTTGCGGCTGGCTCCCCACAGACGTTCGCCTGTAGCAGTCCACAGGCCTTTGCAAGGGCCACCTGGACGTCGGACCTCCCCATCCCTCCCTTCACTGGATACCAGGGGCAGAACCCTTGCACCCAAGACCAAGTCCTCAGGGTGCCCTAGCCCCTGCCCCCCACCTCCCAGCCTCAGTGGCTGGACGTCTTGCAGAGATAAATTGGACAGCCCTTACAATGGAATATGGTGGATAACGAGCAAGTTAGGCAACGGCAGGTACATAATTATAAAGAAAGTGAACTCAGTGCCTGGCGGTTGAGTCCATTGACCTGCGTGGCCCCAGGATATCAGGGAGCTGGCTCTGCCCCAGGGAAGCTCATCCTTACTGGCGGGTCTGAGGGGAACCCCGGGAACACTGACTCCCCAGTGAGAGGAGGGAGTACCTTGAATAGGCAGTCAGTGGTGCACCCCAAGCTTCGCGAGGGACACTGAGTAAGCGGAGCCCGTGCAGAGAAAGGTGACTGGGGAGAGGGGGCATGGCCTAAGAAGCAGCGTTGGGGGGCCCAGGGACGGTTGGTCCCTAGGTGAAGGCCCAGAGAGAAACACGGGACCTTGATTGAATAACTCAGGGCCTTCTGTGGGGAGGAGGGCTGGCTCTGTGACTTTGGAACATGGATCACTCAGACTGACAGGGAGTCCGGTCAGGCACAGGGACCCCCTCGCTGGCAACGACAGCTACTTCGTACTGGAACAGCTCCGTCTGCAGAGTAAGGGTCTCTCCACCAGAAGTTCTCAAGCTCAGCCTGGCCCACCTGTCAGTGGCGTCATAACAGAAATTCCCGTTGGGTTTGGGGTCTGGACTGGACAGTCTTGTGATGAGTTTCTCTTGTGTTTCCCTGCCTGGCACACATGTTGCTGCTCAGAGTGTTCCAAAATGGCCTTGGTGAGGCACCTATGTCCTAATCCTTCTGCGTGGTTTCACTGGGGCTCTTCCTCATGGCCCGTTTCGCCAGACCAATCGGTGTTTGGCACCTGCAAGCCTGAAGCTGCCAGGCGGGCTGTGCAGAGGCAGCCTTGCCGAGGGGGCACGTCCGCAGGTGGATGCCGGAGGCATGGAAAGAGCTAGAGATCAGGAGCTGGGGACATAGTTTGGGTCCTTGGCCCCTGCAGGCTTCAAATCAGCACAAGCTGATCCCTTCTGTTACGTAAGGCGATGCCTTACCTTCAGCCTAACCTACTTGGGGTTGAGTTTCTGTTACTTACAACATAGAGTCCTGATGCAAATATCACAGATCTGACTTATTCTACTGTTTTAATCCCTGATGCGGCACAAGAGGGACATTACCAGTAAGGACTGGGACTGGCTTGCTTGCCAGGGGCCATGCATGGTGGAAAGTGCTTGACCTGCACTGTTTCCCGTGAGGCTGAGAGTCTAATTACCCAGTGTGCAGAGGGAGAAGTGAGGACTCTTTCAGCAGAAGAGCCAGCAACTCAAGCCACACCCACAAGGACTCACTTTCCCACCGTCTTCCCTCTCTGGCTTCATCCTCAGGCCCTACACACTGGCCCCTCGGCCATCCCCAGAAGTCCAGCAGGATTGCCTTACACCTCTACCTCCCGACCAACTAGTGCTATAAATCGTATAACACAAAACTGTGGGGGGGCTTAGGGGTGGGGAAGTTTCCAGAAGGAAATTCCGGACACATCTCTGGGAGTGAGGAGAATGGCTATTGGACAGAGAATGGAGGCTAGCACAACGGGACGACATGTCACACGACTTGCCCTGACCACAGAGCCGGCAGTGTCCAGGCACGTTCTCCTGGAGAAATTCTCCCCCGCTGTGTTCCGTGTCTTCCTCATCCTGCTTTATGTCCTGTCTGTCCCTGGGCCCCAGAAATGAGGCACCTTTGTCTCTGCCTTTTGGCCTCATCTCTCTGCAAGAGGCTTGTGGACTTGAGTCCTCTTTCCAGAACATTCGGAGTGTTGGGGCTTCCCTGTTCACTACAGTTAAGGCCCCACACAGCCTGCTGGGCCCGCCGTGCACGGGGCACCCGAAATACCGCTGTCAGGTATCCTTCGTCCCGGCCAAAGGTGGAATAGAGGTAATGCGTCCGTCTTCAGGTGAAACCATCCAGACAAAAGCAGGGCTGTCCCCCCCTTGAACTCATAGATCATAACGCCCTTTCCTCCTTTGGTTTGAGAGGAGAATTTGACTATGGTTGTCAGACCTCTGGGTGTGAAGTCCACTTGCCTGGCATGAGAAGCCCTGACTTCTCCGTAGGTGAGGAGGAAGACAGGGACTTGGCTCATTCGGGCTGTGGGGGGTGGGGGGGGGGGGGGGAGGTGTGCTGGGGGGCAAAGAGATGTGTCCCTACCTGCTGTCCCAACATGCAAGCCACTGAACAAAAGCATTAGCCTCTGAGACTGGGAGTAAGAATGTCTTGTCACCATGGTTACCAGGAAATGGTCCCACTTATATATAATAAGGGCTTTAGCAGACGCCAGGCCATCTGATATTCCAGTCTGGGGCCAAATGAGAGGGTGCCTGGAGTGCTCTCCCCGATGCAGTTACCTGAACACAGCTGTGAGCCGTACTGAGCCAGGCGCTGGCAACAAGCCTTTTCTTTTTTTCTTGGGGTGCGGCCGATGGGCGGGGGGAGAGGACAGAGGCCTGAGCACCTTCGCCCAGCGTCCCTTTGTTATCCAAAGCGTCGATGTGCATCTGCCCACAACATCGGTGCAGGAATGAGTGTTTGCATTGTCTTGGTGTGTGTGTGTTCCGGGGGGGTGGGGAGAGGGTGTCACCCCAGATACGGAACTGGAGTGCGGGGGTGGGGGGGAGTGGACCGGCCACCTCTTCTTCTTCAGTCCTCACGCTCCTACCTGGCGGAAAGTGCTCAGCAATGAAAACAGAAAAGAAAAGACCTGCCCTTCCACCCCCCCTTCCCGACGCCCCCTCGGGCCGCATCCACACAGCCGCACAGGCCGGGAGGCGGCGGTCCTGGGGGGAGACCCCGGCTGTCAGTTGGACGCCAGGGCTGCTGGCCCAGCCCCCGCGAGTCTCCGGACTCGGGGGCTCCGGGGCTGGGGAGGGACCGCGATGCCCGCCAGGCCGGGGCGCGGGGCGCCAGGGAGAACGGGGACCCCAGCCCGCCGGCCAGCAAAACAAGAGCACGCGCACCTGCCGGCCCCGCCCCGCCCCGCGCGCCGGCCAATCGCGGGGCGTGGGCGGGGCGTGGGCGGGGCGTGGGGCGGGGCCGGCGCCCCTGCGGCCGCAGAAGCCGGAGCCGGCGCGGGCCGCAGCGGCCCAGCCTGGAGCGAGCGCAGCCTCGTGCCCGCCGCCCGTGCCCGCCGCCGCCGCCGCCCGCGCCCGCCGCCCCCGGGGCATGGCCTGTCTGATGGCCGCCTTCTCGGTCGGCACCGCCATGGTGAGTGAGCGCATCCTTCGCCTCCGGGGCTTGCTTCTATATTCCAGGAGAGCGAGAAACGCACAAAGACCCGCACCCTCCCCCCGACACCCGCCCCTGGGTCCCCGGGGAGAAGCCCGGTTCCGATTGCCTCCAGCCCCGGCCCCCCGACGCCTCGGGGAGCTCCTCGCGCCCGCAGGGGACGCGGGGCAGGCGGAGGGGCCAGGAGTGTGCGAGCGGCGGCCAGCAGCGCCGCAAGTGCATAGATGGCCCATCTCCGTCCCCTCCGTGTAGGGGCGTGGGGGGCCCGGGTTCCCGCGCCCCGGGCAGGGTGGCAGCCTGGGCCCGAAGGAAGCGGGGTGGGGGTGACCCCCCACCCCTGCCGGCGCCGCCGCCCGGGCGCTGGGAGCCCGCACTCCTCGCGCCGCCCCCCGGAGTGCCGGGCAGGGTCTGGGGGAACAAAAGCGGAGGCTGTTCCCGGGGAGCCCGGGTCTGCGCCCCCCCCCCCACCCCCGGCGCTCTTCAGGGACGGCCGCTCCCGGCCTGCCCGGGGGGAGAGGGGGCGGCCGATTCCGGGGAGGCAGCCTGGGGGCGGGGGCGAGCCTGGATACCTGCAGGCCACCTTTGCGGACCCTGGAGAGAGCCGGGGCGGGGGGGGGGGGGCACACAGACGCGGATCTCCCGTTGCCAGAGGGCGCCGGCTCCGTAGGGGGCCCGCCGGGTGCCGGCAGATTCGGTGCTAGACACAGTGACATCAAGTGCTATTCCCACTGGTGGTCAGAAGTCTCCTGCTCCTTTGTAACAGCTCCTTAAACTCTCATTAGGGAAAACAACAAAGTAACCATCGACCGGTGCATCCTGGGGCCTTTCATTTTTATGCCTAGCACACCGACGTTACAGTTAGGTAGGTTCTTGCAGACTGGATTTCAGGTCACCTAACGTACAAATAGAAAGTATTCCGTTGTCCGGCCCACCTCGCCCTCCCTACCCATCCCTGTCTCTACGGTCTGTAAATTTACTATCCTGCTAATTACTCCCCATAGGCTGTAAGCCCACGGTGCATAGCACACACCCCCACCCCTCGCCTTATTTCATTTTTAGCATCCTGTGTTTGAAGTCAGCAGGGCTCAGCAGGATTTGACCGACAGTTACCTCTTGCCTTGAGCCCGAGAAAAAAAAAAAGCGTAGCTTGCTGTCTGCGCATGCTCCGCTCTCACAACTGCATCCTATGCTCCAAACAGGTTACTGTAGAGCACATACCGAACGTTGCCAGCTCATTATATAATGGTTTTGTGTAAACCGATAGAATGGGGCCGCAGACATGTTCAGGACGTCGGAAGAACGGGGGCCGGTGGCAGGGGGACTCAGTGGCCAGGTCGCCTCTCTGGGCAATGCCCTGCCTTCATTACTAGGCTCCTCACCTGTAAGGAGGGGTGGGAACACACAAGAAAGGCAGTCCCCCCTCACATTTGCTTTTATCTGATTGAATGTTTGGATAACACCCGGCAGTTCTTCCTTTTACATTTGCGCATCTCTTTGGGCTTCCTAAACTATGTGGATAATGGAAAATTAAGGAAATCATCATTGCTAGGCGTAGGTAAAGAATGTTTCAGATCTTTAAGATGCCTGGTAATTCCTGAAGTCCTTTCAGAGCTGCAAAAGGGGTTTATACATGTGGGAAAATAATGAATCAGAACGTTTTCAGGTATTGATGTTTTTAGGTCAGGATTTTTTAATGCTCTGTTAGAGTTTGATACAGACCCAGAACTCCAGTGTTCCCAGATGGAGGAGACACTAATGGCTGGGACATTTTTTTCAGGAAACATTGTTTTGTTTGAAGATCATGTTTCTCCCCCCAAAATCTTGTAATTTTTTTTTAAAATGTTTTATTTATTTCTAGGAGAGAGAGAGAGAGAGACAGCGTGAGCAGGGGAGGGTCAGAGAGAGAGGGAGACACAGACTTTGAAACAGGCTCCAGGCTCTGAGCTGGCAGTCAGCACAGAGCCCGACGCGGGGCTCGAACCCACGAACCGCGAGATCATGACCTAAGCGAAAGTCGGACTCTTAACCGACTAAGCCACCCAGGCACCCCAAAATCTTGTAATTTTTAAAAAATTTTTTTAATTAAAAAAATTCTACGCCCTGCTCTGGGGTCCCACCTAGGCCTGAGGGTGCCAGCTGTGAACCTGGAGAAGCTGGCTTAGAGCACCTGACCCTGAGCAGGGCTGGGAGGGGCAGACATGAGGCCCCAGTGGGATGGTGGTATTTGGACATGTATGCAGTGGCTTTTGGAGATGGTGAGGTCAGCAGCCTAAGTGACCAGACAAGTGGCACCTGCCTTTTGCTCGTTTAAGGGTGTGACATTTGGATTCTTCTCCCCAGGGCAACGGCCTTGAGGTTTCTTGGCTAGCATTGTCCTCTGATGTGGCCAGGGTAACCGGAAGGACCTGCCCTCCAGTTGAAGGGCCAAGCCCAGCAGCAAGGCATGGAAGAGAGAACCGGGAGAGAAGCGCGTGCCAGTGCCCTGGTGCCTGAGCCTCCTCCCCTTTTCCCCCTTCCCCATGAGCTGTGGGAAGAGGTTTCTATCTCTCACTGTGTGTTCCTGGGTAAGCAGAGCGAACCAGCCTCACAGTGGACTAGGGGCAGGGAGGGGGCGGTTGCTGACTAGAGACCCTCCCCAGCTAAACACGCATCTCTCTGTGCTTACATGCTAACTGGTATCAGCACCCAAGAAAATATTCTCGTGAATGGCAGGCAGTAACCATCCAAACAGGGTCTCCTCGGCATTCAAAGCCCATGAATGGATGTATTATTATTTATCATTTATTATGCAGCACACACCGTGTGTAGATGGGGAGGTCAGAGGCAATGCTTGGATAAGATAGAGAAACATACAATGAAAGGGAACAAATGTGGACGGAGGATGTATTTGTTTCATTTTTAATGAGCTCCGGAGGCTAAGGACAAGCTAGCTGTAACCTACATTGCCGGCCGCTCTCATCTGAGGCTGTTTCCAGAGAGCTGGTCTATTTCAGAATGACAGCCACTGCCTCTCATCATACAAGATTTCCTGATTTTGTTAGTTGGGCAAGGTCATTGGACACCCGAGCAAGAAAGGTGGGTAATGGTGCGTTTGGGGTGGGAGCGGGATGGTATGGTTTCCTCAGTTCCTTGTGGATTTTCCTGCAATGGGCAGGGGCTGGATGACCCAGGATCACCTGGTACTTACTTCAAGACAGTAAGCAATGTTCGAGCGCCCTTAAGGACGCTGGCCAGGGGAACAGGGCACAGAGAGGAAGCCACACAGAGCTGGACGCTGGATGCTGCCCCACTCTGGAACCGTGGGGTCTAGGGCAGAAGGCGGTGTCTGTGCCTCAGATCCCAACTCCACACAGAGTGGGAGATGGAAGACCCCCTTCGGGGCGGAGAGAGAAGGGACATCCTCTATTCAGTCTGCGGTTTCCTGGGCCCATGTAATTGCTGAATCAATAGTCACTGTTGCTTGTAATCACTTACCTGGTATGCAGGAGGCATTATTCTTTACTACTTTAAATAACAAGTCCTTGACTCTGGCTTCTGCCTCCGGCTCTCCTCTCTCCCAGGTCAGTTTAGTTGCCCAGCTTTGTCCGGCCCGTCCACCTGTCTCCATCCCCACTGCCACTCGCTGGTCAAGGCCACTGTCACCCTCCCATTTGCACGTAGAGGCAGGAGACGGTTTTTAATTACAGTTCAGGTCCGTTACCCCCATTTTAGATCCCGGGGTGCCCCTCCCCACCATCACAAGGACTTGTAGACAAAATACAAAACCCTTAACAGGGTTCGCAAGCCCTTCAGTGCAGATCTTGTGTGTCTCTAGTTTCATTTTACCCTCCCTCCCCCCTCCCTCAGATCCCTGCCCCCCTCCCTCCTGCCACTGGGCCTCTGCGCCTGCTGCCCTCCCCCCACCCTCCCCCCCACCCCCCACCGTGGGGAGTTTCGTGAACAAGCACCCTCCCCCAACCTCACCTGGAAGATCTCAGTTTAGATTCGATTTCCTCAGAAAAGCTCTGTGCTTAGTGCCCCCCACCCCACCCCACCCCGGGGGCTGCTGCTGCTTTGGGGGGCCCTCAGGGTCTCTGCATACGGCCCATTATAGCTCTTGTCTCCCGGCATTGTGATTGCCTGCGTTCTCGCCTGGGGCCCAGCCTTGAAGGGAGCCTGCTGAGGCCACAGGCGGTGTCTGCCTGGCTGACTGCTGACCCCCACGGCTGTGCTCGGTGCTTTCATTCCTGAATGAGCGAGCGAGCCAGAGAGAGAACAGACAGCCTTGGAGTCTGGAGGGAAGTCAGACCCTCATCATAACATGGGTTCGGTATCTGCTGCAGCCGGGGTGAGTGGAGTAACGGCTGTTCACCCCTGTATTCCTGTGGCTTTATCAGAAAATGAAGATGGCACCTATCCCTGGAACGTCCTCAGGGGTGACCCGTGTGGTGGGTGCCCGGGAGAGGAGTGCGGTAGGGACGGGCCGCGGCAGGCGGAATGCCGGGATGGCCGAACACACAGTGACGGGGACCCCCAGCGTGTGGGTTCGGTACCAGACATTTAGCCTTTCCACTGAGGTGGCAGGTAGGGGGACAGCGGGCTGTGGGGACCAGCCCTGGAGCTCACGGCCTTCCCCTCGGCTCCCTCCACTACCCCCTGCCCCCGGAAATCAGAATTTGCAGAGTCGGAGCTGGCTATAAAGCTGCAGCTGCAGCGTGTGTCCCCCAAGGGGCAGGACGGGGTGCCCGAGGGACGGCACCGCTGTAGGCGCTGGGGTGGCATGGCACATGCTTTCTCAGCCAAAGCCAACGGCGTGGTGAGCCAGGGCACGCTCCCATGACTCCTTCAGGAGGCCCGGGCACGGAAGGCACAGGGCATACCCGGGCCGGAGGCGGCGTCCGGCAGCTTCCTCTCGGGAGCCTCACGCCAAGGCTCTCAGGAGTCCGTCGTCAAGCCTCCTGGACTCCGCGTCGGGAACGAGGAGGGAACTGACTGATGTTTGCATTTGAAGCATTTCACATGCTGGGTGCCAGCAGCAAACCGAGCTTAATTTTCTCAGTTTTACTTTGCACTTTAATTTTTATCCACAGAATGTTAGAGTCAGTGAGCTAAGTTTTGATTTCAGTGAGTTAAGCTTTTCAGAGGTAGGAGATGCCCAGGAAGGCGTGTGTGTGTGTGTGTGTGTGTGTGTGTGTGTGTGTGTGTGTTTCATTTAAACAGCAAAACAACATTTGCACACATCACAGGAACCAGAAATCGTGTGCCCACATATCCCTCCCCTTGCCCTACGTGTGCTTCAAATACTTGAAACCTTCAAGGCCTCCAAGACTTCCGAGCCTTTAAATACCCTGATGGAAATGATGCCAGCTCTTGCATGATACACTCACGTCCCCTGAAGCGTGCTCTCTGGCGGGGGGAGAGCCGGTTTGGCCGCTCGAATTGCTAGGGCTTGTAGGCGTATGTATGCGTGATCCACTCTCTGGTTTTGTTTTGGGGTTTTGGTTAGAAAGAATAATGATCGAGAAGCTATCACCTCTAAAGGAATACCTAACAAAGCTAATGGAAACAGAACAGGATAGTTCTGGGCGGGCTCTCCCCATCAGGCTGACCGTCTTCACTGGCATGGAGGAGAGTTGCCCAAGGCCCGCACTCGCGGCCCCGTGGAGCGTTCTGCTTTGATTCAAGAGAGAGACAGCCAGGAAGAGCAGAGCATAATATCTGTCCACCCCAGGGTTCTTCTGCGTTTTGGGGGTACCTGAAACACATTGATCTGTTTGGGGTTGCCAAGCCATTAGATGAGGAAATTCCTTTCCTTGCATAAATATTTTTGGATCTTGGCATCTCTGTACCAGTTCAGTTGACTCCCAATGGAAGCTTTAAAAGGCAAGATAGCTACAAAAGATCAGGCCCTCTGACACTGTAGTGCAAGGAACCCCATTCCTTTGACGATTCGATCCTCGGAGCCATCCTGCCTCTCTCCTGGTTCCAGGGCTCGGGCCAGGCTCCTTAGAGTGGCCGTGTCTCCGTTTTCTCATCTGTATAAGAGAGAGAGAGAGAGAACCCAACCGTTCCAACTTTCCAGTGCCACTAGGAAGATGCAGTGAGAGGGAGGGTTGGAAGTGATTTGGAAAACATATAAGGAAGACACAACGGCTGACTCCCACCGAGCCCGACACCTGATGTGAAGCCACTGCTCTTGAGAAATGTTTACGGGCCTACACAGGAAGGCACTAAAAGAGCTCATTTTAAACAAAACACCTTCAATCATACATTTCTTAGGAACCCCAAGCATCTTTATCGGGGTTTTTAACGAGTATACTTAATGTAAATAGATCTTTTTTTTTTTTTTTTTATGCTGGCTGGTGTTTGATTCTTTGAGACAAGCGATGTGTTAGTACAGTTTTGGGAGATTTTATGATTCCAAAGTAAGACTTTGGGAGATTAGTTTAATATTCTCTCTTAGCAATCTTTTTTTGATGGAAGAGGTAGTCATGGCTGGAGATGACAGATCCTTCCAGGAAAGCACCTTGACGTAGTTTCGGAAGCGTTGCCGTGAATACTCAAGCCCTGAGCCTACGGCCAGTGCCCTGCGCTCTTCCGCGGAGCTCATGACCTCTCTTGGTGCTCTCTCCCCGTTTTTCTAGAATGCCAGCAGTTACTCTGCAGCGATGACGGAGCCCAAGTCCGTATGTGTCTCGGTGGATGAGGTGGTCTCGGGCAGCATGGAGGCCACCGAGACGGACCTGCTGAATGGGCATCTGAAAAAGGTGGACAGTAGCCTCACGGAGGCTCAGCGCTTTTCGTCCCTGCCCCGCAGGGCGGCCGTGAACATTGAATTCAAGGACCTCTCCTACTCCGTCCCTGAAGGACCCTGGTGGAGGAAGAAAGGTAGGGAGGGCTGCCGGGTGCTTCGTGGGGCGGGGAGGAGCCTGTGGAGGAGGTCACGGGCGTCTGGGACCATCTGGGTCTGGAAGCCAGGAGGTGGGGAGTCGTCCCACTGGGTCACTGCCACGGCCAACTTCTTCATGCCCAACTTGTTCTCACCTCTCCTCTCACCTCTACTCCAAACAGCTCGGATTAGAGCCACCAGGTTTGTGGTGGCTCTTACAGTCTGATATGATTACAGATTTTCACAAGGTCCAACCCACGTCTGTGTGTGCTGGTCCCCGTCACCGGCTGCTGTTCCTGTTTGCCCTCCGAGAGGGGTCTATGTCGTCATGTTTCAGAGCAAAAAGGAAGGCAGGGGCTCCGTCCCAAGGTTGAAGGGCTACAGAGTAGCCGTGACCTACAGCGGCCTCTCAGGAAACTAGTCATCTACGTTATGAGTGGTGCTGGTGGGCTATCAATCTACTCTTATCCAGTGAGCCACAGAAATAAAAATAGAAGAGAGAGAAAGGATGGGGGGCTCAGGTATTTGCCGCGGCTTGTTGCATGTTAACGAGAATTGATGACCCACGATATTTCTCGTTTTCTTAGCAAACTGGGCGTCCCTGCGCTAGCTCTAGGTTTTCGACGTGTGTAGAGTTAAAGCCTCCATAGGCTGGCGTTTCCTTTTCCAGCCTGACCTATTTCTTCCCGCGGAACTTACTCCGCCTGTCCCTGTGCTCCGTGCACCCATCCTGCACCCCTCTTTCAGGCAGGTGGGGGGCCGGTTGGGAGAGGGCACGTCACACGTCACCAAGGAACACCAGCCTTTGGTTTCTCCTGAGTCACAAAGGCGTGCGGCACAATGATGGTGACTCAGGTGCCACTGGCACATGGTATGTTAGGATTCTCAGCTCAAATTCACAGTGAACCCTTCTCTCTTTTTGAGGAAGACCCACCAAGACTTTTTTAGGTTTCATTTTCCTGTCTTTCCCTGTTGTCACCTCTGTTTTGTTGTTCTTCCTTGAGGCTGAGCCACTGAGATTATCGGCGTGGGCACTCTGGGCTTCCTTGTGACCACGGTGTTGGAACCGTGGCTGACTGGCCGCTGGGACCCGCGAGCCACGTCGGTGGTTGGATGACTTCTGTCTGTCTGTACAACTAGGAGCAGACCCTGGGCCTTATCGATGGTGGAATGCACATTGCTATCTGACACTTACATTATCCAACCTTGCCAGCCAGAGAAAGTTCTGTGGCAGGCTTGGGGGTGGGTCCATTCGTGTGAGGCGACTGAAGTGTCAGTACAGGGTTACCTTTTCCTTCTCACCATGAACAAAAGACTTTAGGGGAAAATCGCCGAGCCACCAGCAGGGCCTTGGTGTGTTGGCTCGATTTGTCCATAGGGACACGTTGCGGCAAACCCGTGAGAGGCAGAGATGGGTTTCTGTACCTCTGTTACGTGTGGCCGAACGTCCAGGTGCGTGGACGGGTGCCCGTAAGGAGAAGGTGGGCTTGCGGTGCAGACGTGCGGACATTTGAAAACTGGCAGAACCTCGATTTGAAATCCAAACAGCAAGCGTTCCATCTCCTCCTTGGGTAAGGGGCTTATTAACCCTGTATTCTCTCCGTGTTAGAACCGGTCACCAGACACTTAGCCCGCGGTGACGGCCTCTTAACGAGGGAGGGAGGGGCCCCGCGGCCCATTCTCAGCCTCCAGATAGACACTTGCCCTACAGTAACCTGTGTGGGCTCTGGAGGGAGGAGCAGGAAGTGAGCCCACAGGACCTGACGGTGAGTCAGAGATGGTTGGGGCCAGAGGGGAAGATGATCGGTCTGGTGTGTCCCAGTTGCTGGTTTCTAAACCAGCGGCGCCTGGTCTTGCTGTCTGGCTTCCTTCCCTGCTCCCCACAGGGGCACCTGCTTCCCCTTCGCTCCCCTCCCCTTCCCCTGCTCGGTGCCCCAGAGTTTCCTGTGTTCTTGGTATCCTGCAATTCAGAACTTAGATGGCTTTCCGTTGCCCATAAACTTAGCGGTGGGGAAATACTTCTCATTGAATAGAAAGGACGCTGAGTGGTCAGGGCACTTGTTTTGCTGAGCTGGTCAGCAGGGGTGGCTTCTAGCTTGCCTGGCTGCAGAGCCTCGGGGTGCCAGGGTCCCCGTAGCCACAGGGGAGCAGTGTTCCTCCTGGAGGCTGCTTGGCGGCTTGACTGTCCCATTAGCAGGGAAACCGAGAGCTTCCAGAATGACGGAAGTTAGCTGCTGATGTGATGCGCTCACTTAACAGCCGGCTCTCGAACACACATCCGGTGGGCTCGGAACTTGGGGACCATAGCTCCCCGGCTAAGAGCACCCGCCCAGGACGGAGAGTAAAAGTAGGCATTAAATCTGGATGCCTGCTCCTTCTTGGGGTCCGTCCCCTTCGCCCTCAACGTGGGACCCTGCCTTTCCCGATTTTGTTCCTCTGATTGCTGGCGGTTGCCTCAGCCCTCAGCAATGATGAGGCTAAGCTGAGAAGTCAAAGCCAGCCACCCCGCACACCCCTTTTCTCACGGTGGCCATTCTATTTTCGGCATCACCCTTGGGTGACACTCTGTGTGGTCGCTCTTCAGGGCAGAGGCTCTTTCTCTTACTTCTCTTGCCATAGTTTTGCTGACTGCTTTTCAATGTTTTTAAATTCGGCTTTACATGGTGCGCTCCTTGCAGCGATCGCACGGGGCCTAGATGCCCCGGCATCTCCCACGGGAGTTCCCGGAGGGTCTGGGGATGGCACAAGGTCAGAGCCACGGCTGGACCTTCGGTCAGACTCCCGCTCCAGATTTCCTTCCACCAGAGACACTGGACTGCTCTGTAAATTCCAGGAGAGCCTCTTCCTCACACGGTTTCTCCCAGAACCAGGGGCTGGGACACAACTCGACACAGAAGCAGTAGCAAAGCCTGGCGTTGCGATGAGAATGAGATCGTAAACGCCTACGTGATCGTTTCCAAGAATGATCTTCCTTCTTCATAATCCTTAGAAGGAAGGTGGCAGGTGAATCGGTGGCATCATTTATAAAAAGATGTCAGGCACTGGTTCTTTAAAATCCTTGAGTGTGACGACTGCCAAGCACCGAATATGGCGTTTAAGAAAACATCTCGCATTTTCATTTGTAGTAACATTTTCACCATATGATTAATGATGCCTTCAGAGGAAAAACTAGATCATGTAATAGATTCCTAGTAGAGAACGTAATTGTGAAAGGAAGTGCTCTCAGGAGAACACGGTTCACGCCAGGGATAATCGCACCGGCTTCTGATACAGTAATTACTCTTCCCCAAGGAATCCAGTCCCGGAGCACAAGTCGAGGGGACAAATGATCTGGAACAGTGTGGATGCTGGCCTCCGTCACAAAACCCATTGTGTCGGGGACCCGTCAGAACAATCCGGTCCGGTGGTTCTCATTCCCCCTCAGTGTGGCTTACGTTGAAAGCAGCTTTGGCTCCTGTAAAGAAGATGCTGCGTTGGGAATATTCAGGACCCCTGATTAAGAACAGAATCCACACACAGGTGGGGACGAGGACATTTTACACTGAAATAGCACCTCCTGGCTTTGGAGCCCCTATTAGGATGTGACCGATGGTAATGAATGGATACTTGGGGTACCAGAGAATGCTGCTCTTCAAGGGGACCTGTGTCGTGTCCGTTTGTAGAATTAACGTAGTTTGTGAGGCCACTTGGCTCTGGGGCCAATTCTGCCCTTTCTCCTCGTGGGACCCCTGAGACTCAGAGACAGGGCCCAGGTCACAGGAGCACAGAAAATGGCCCTCTAAGCGGGTCTGTACAATTTGAGGCCAAGACCCCATAAGGAACCTGGCAAGCTCCTGGCCCTGGGGCGGCACACCATGGGGCTACCATGGCACGGACATGTCTCACCCCATTTTATGACACCGTCACAAGTCGCCTTGACCACTGACACTGATCTGTTTCCCTTTTAATTGGCCTTTTGGGACGTCTGTCCCCTTTGTCATTCATAAGGACCCATAAAAGACCTCCTTAGGCCTTTGGAGAGGCTCCAGACATTCTGTCCCATCACCAGGGAGGCGAGACTGATGTGTGCGGCATGCTTTCGCCCAAACAAGTGACATGATTCTTAGAAATAAAACACAGCCCCATGCTTACCTGGTGATGAAGCTCAGGTTGAGGATGAAAGTAGTCATATTTGGGGCTTTAGTGAGCCTGGCGATTGTCTCAGTATGATGACTCTCTGATGGAAGGGCACAGAATGCCTCCTCCTGAGCCCTACCTCTTTGCCCAATACTGGGATGGATGGAATTAAACATTCTGGGCAGGTCCACATCAGAGTACTGGTTCTCGTTTGCTTCTGAGCTTTAAAAATGCATTTCTCCAATCAAAGTTTGCTTTCTCTTATTTCCCAAAGCTATCTCTTGGAGCCTGCCATGACGAGCTGGCAACCATGAGCAGAATGCGCCACTAATAAATCCCGTTCAGGAATCCCATTAAGGGAAGACTGGATTCCATCCAAGCGCTGGCCGGCTTGATGCAGCCCACAGGGGCAGGGGTAGGGATGGAAGGCCGGAAGAAGAGGGCTGTGTGTCTTTGGAGGGGTGGGCTGCTCAAGTTCAAGGGGGTTGATAGTCCCCAGCATGAATGAACAGCTTCCGAGCTTCCTGGGAACCATCGCACTAAGGTGGATTTTCCACTGGGCACAAAAGAAAATTGTTTTGAATACTCTGCCTTTGTCTTTGTCTAAGGCTGTGGCTAGTCTCGTGCAGTGTGGTGAACCTGAACCTCGCTCACAGGGCTAGCGCTTGAGGCTGGAGTGTTTACAGAGCAAGCCCACGGCCGGATGGCCCTTTGTGGTGGTTGCCGTGGTGAGTCCAGACGCTGGAGAGCGCTGCCCTTCCCCTCCGGGGCCACTTCTTAGGTCCTCAGTACTGGGTGGCTCCCTGGGGCAGGCAGGCTGGCCACCCACTCAGGCCCTGTGGTGGTGAGGTCTTCTGGAATAGTTTTGATCTTCCGTCTTAGA